TTATGGACACCATTATGTGTACCATAATATACATGTAGCATAACCCGAAAAAAAAAATGTCTTTATAGCATGATTGAAAAAAGAATTGACTATGTGAGGCACATTATAACCAACCAGCTAGATTTTCTTTATTGAAATTGCTGAAATCACCTTTTTGCTGATGTACAAAAGGCTAGAATGATTGTTTCGTTGCGAATTTAACATTTAAACATTTTCAATATGGAAGATATCATTATGGTAAGTACACTTTTAATTAGTGTCAATTACATAACCATACTTTAATTTTGTTCCATTGGATAACTCAACTATAATTTGATTTTAATCAGCTAATTAACTTTGATTTAGTGACAAATTCATTCAATTCCACCGACAAGAAATGATGACGCGACAAAAAGTAAATGATGATCATAATCACACGTAATAGTTCGTTGCTAACGTGAAATAAGTACAACTTTAATCCAACAAATGACCATCAACATTTTTTTATTGTCGTGCTATCGATTTCCATCAATTCAAGTAATGAAATTGGACGGAATTATCCAACTAAAATTAGAGTAGTTATCTGGAAACGGAAACTGACATTAATGGAATTTATCCACATTAATCCACTCATGGCAGGGTTAAACATACTTCTATACAGTATTACTGTATTGTTCGACAAAACTTTCGATGACAAATTTTGATAAAATTGATAAAAATTGCATTCTACCTTCAAAAACGATGATCAATCCGTGTCATTGAACACTTTTAGCCCCTATTTGATTCGGATAAAAATTATATGTTTAGCAGATTTTGATAAAAGTTAGTGAAATGTACGATCAAAAAGTTGATAAAAGTTCCCATATGGTCGAAAATGAGTTTTTTTTTTTTTTTAAATGAATTTTAAGAAATGATGATCAAACATGTACTTATTTTGGATAGTGATTGGTTTCATGCCAACTTGCTTAATAACAGTAACTATCACAAACTATTTAAGAAACAGGCTAATGCTTTCTTCAACAAACCATTTTTTATTGTTGTATCCACATCTATACATCATCACCAATGTTATTGAAAAAGGATCAGACATAATGCAAATATGGAAGACGACACATCGATAAGGATACATCACTCACTCGGCCCTCACTAACTAGAGGTTTTTATTC